CATTTGATAATCAAGGAGTACATAGGTACAATTGCAAGAAAAAATGTACAATTCTTACTTCTCAAACCCAAACCAAAGCCCAAACTAACCCAAACTTAAACCCACGTACAAATTTTTAGGCGAACGGTGATACGCGATGCGTGGATTTGAAATGCAGGTCGCTAGGAGCCAGGCCCAGAATTATACATCACTTGAAATGCTGTTCAAGCCGCACGGATGTCAAACGTAAGTTTGATATCCATGCGGTGAGTAGGAGGGGGGCTAATCACTGCGACCTTAGAGATCTATTGTGAGTTCCCATTTAACCAATGCTATTCAAAGCTCTTTGTAGCTTCTGTATTGCTGTCCTCCATTTGCGAATTTCAAGTTCCAGAGCTTTACGCCCTGGGTTGCTCAGAACGGTTCTGAAAGGAGCTGTGCGAGATAGCCTGGTGCCTCCATATGGCGCGGAACCAATTCTGAACTTTATGACTCAATTGAATGGAGGGAGAGTATCGCGTTCTTGAACAGTTCAGAGCTGCTCAACTGCGTGAAAGGAGGACAGCATATGGTGTATATTTTCTGTGGTGCATCCACATTATCCTAAAAAACGGATCGGCGGCGGTGTATCGGCGTAACGACCTTGGAATCGATTTCCAGCAATTCTATTGGCTGAAAAATTTATCTGTCAGAAATCTTATCTGTCAAATTCACCTGGCAAAAATTTCAGCCAATAGAATTGCAGGAAATCGATTCAAGGTCGTTAAGCCAATACGCCATTCCGCTGTTTTTAGGATAGTGTGGATGCACCCTACGTACCAAAACTTGGTAAAAATGGGGTAAATAGAGAGATCACATGACCCCACATTTTTGCACCAAAAATGTACAATCCCACTTAAAAAAGTACAATTTCGACACCATTTATAGTACAAAAATTTTTGCCCTTGTAACAACGCTGGCTGCATTTTGCTTTGCAAATTTAATACATAAATTATGTAGGCAAATATATAGGTTTTTAATAAAACTCCTCGGACTAACGTGTAGGTAAGTGTTGATAATTTTTTTTTTCATCTTAACATGCTCATTGTCGTTCTCCTGATTTTAGGTGACAGAAAAGGATCATCAAATCAACTTGAATTTTATATTTTCCTTCCTATTTATCCTTCCTAAATATCAACGAGATGAGCCATCGGAAGAAAGGGACCATAGTACAAAACAGAAAGGTGATCTTTTTTCTTTCCACTTCGGATATTGAAATTATTATATACTGTAGTCGTGTTCGGCATTAAGCCGGAGTCTCATGCATCCGAAATCCGATGGTACGACATCCGAAATTTGAAGTTATCGTGTGAAATAAAACAAGCCTGTCACATACATCCGAAAGTTCGTTCCGAAATTTGACAGTTTTGCCATTTTTCTGCTGCATTGAATAGAGATTCATGTCATGTTTTATTGGAGAAACACTTATAAAAATAACTTCCTCGCCAAATATCCCGAAATTGCCCACTTCCCACTAAACTTGATTTTAAAAACCAATGTTTTCAAAAAAAGTGAGGTTAAAAAACACACAATATCGTACAAAAGTTAAACAAAATTTAACTACGTCTAGGAATACGACGTCGGACAATTAGTTAAAAATATCGGATAAAAATTGGTGTCAAAATATTTCGACCAATAGGAGCACCGTCGGATCGTCGTGTCATCGGATTTCGGATGCATGAGACTCCGGCTTTATGCTCTGAGAAATATAGATAAACAATGAACAACAGATATAAAGCATCCCAGAGGGAAAGAGAGGCAATACCTGTATGTACTCTCTCTGATATTTGTGAAAATTACAGCAAAGTATTGTTGTAAATGTCATCTTTTTGATCGACCTGAAAACTTCAAGCAAAAAGGTGACACTTTCAACAATATCCTGACAGATATCAGAGACGATACAGGTTTTTCCTCTCTTTTCCCCTGGAATACTTTTAATTTATTATTCTTTGTTTATCTAGATTTCTCAGAGCACTATGAACGAACTCAGCTTGTATGTTTGAAATAATCGTCCAGATGGCTTAAAAATGATGACATATCCCATATAATTTTACTTTCAAAATTATGATATATCTTTTATTTCTAAGCCATCTATGACGCCATTTTTTTTCAGTTTTGTTATAATTAATTTTGTCTCTTGATCTACTTGTAACATTATTTTTTAATTTTATTAATTTATTGTGGTGAAATTAATTTCTGTTGTATATTTGATATTGATATTAAACATATTTTTAAAAAATGGTGTATTTTTTGTGTTTTTGTGTATGTCATAATTAAAAATAAATGAAGAAATAAAAAATTTTATTTTTTTAAACTTCCCGCCATGCGTGACAATTTAGTCCGTAGTTCCTACAAGCGAAATTGGGGGCGCTAGTAGCAGTAGACTTGTCAACAGTGTCAATTTTAAACGTCAATTTCACTTTCCAATATTTAGCAAGGCGCTCGCACTTCTTCTTGTGTATGTGTTTTGTGGCCGTCGACGTGCCGTCGATCTACGTCGATCCAAAACCGAAAGTTGAAAATTTCCAATTATATTCTGATTATGATATTGTCGCGCCATCTAGTATTTTATTTGTGCAATTTTAGTTCTTTCATTTCGAGTATTTTTCTGTTGCGTAGCTAGATATTCTGTGTCTCTAGCGACAAGTCAACGTCAACGACCCGACAAGGAGAAAAGTGGTGTTCGAATAACAAATTATGGGTCACCAAAAATTGTTTTTGTCTCCTTTCAACGCATACTTTAGAAAGAAATAGAGATGAACTGGAATACTGAAAGATAGTCCAGTGCCTTCTATTAAAAGATCAGCCTCCGGGCGAGATTTATGACGTCACGCTAGTTAGATATAACGGATTAATAAATATTTTGTAGAATACATGGAAAACATAATTATTCCTCAGATTTTTGGTTTGTATTTTAAAAATGATATAGTTTACATGAAATATACATAATATACAGTTAATAACTACAACATATATACCTATTTATAGTAATAAATACTTTGGCAAATAAACTATGAACCATACAAATGCAGCAAATGTTTTACAATGTACAAGTAATGTATAGGTACATAAGATAATGGGTAAAATGTAAATATATTTTAAATTTTGGGGTTTGAAAATCGATCTAATTTAACAAAAAACATTCAATATCTATTAATAGTGAGTATTATTATATGCATTCTAAAATTTTTATGTATATTTTGCAAGTATCAATGTTCGAAAAATTATATTTACAAATAATACAATGTTATCTAAAAAAAGGCGTCAGCGATGGCTATGAAATGAAGATCGTTGGCATTTTATATGTAAAATTATTCTAAAACTTTTTATTTTCTTGGGATTTTAGGTTCGGGAAAAACGCCGATTTAAGTTTTCATTTGGGTTTTCATTATTTTTATTTGGTTTAAGAAAACGTTTCGGCTAACTATAGCCTTCATCAGTGTTGTGTCATATGAAAAAATAGTGTCGAATATAATCCAAAAAATTACATATACAATATAATTCACACTCATAATGTTTACTGCAATTAATAAACTAATATAAACTTATCAAATATTAAATTATTATAATTACAGCAATTAATAAACTAATATAAACTTATCAAATATATAGCCGAAACGTTTTTTTAAACCAAATAAAAATAATGAAAAACCAAATGAAAACTTAATCATCGTTTTTCCCGAACCTAAATCCCAAGAAAATCAAAAAATTTAGAATATTTAGAAACAAGGTTCAAGAATATCAAATTTTCCAAGATTGTAAAATTCTAGTTAATTATTTTATGTGTACAGTTATTTAGGGAATGTCATCGATGTTCATGTCCAAGCCAACTAGACGCCGATTTTTCGATGATACGGTATAATTCTTACATAAAATGTAAATAACATTAGACCAATTAAAACAAAGAAATATTAATTTCTTGGTATTTTTAGTAACACCTTTATTCTTAAAACTTAATTTTGTATTATGCAAATATACCAATTTTATTGTTATTTTATTCATATTGTATTCAGCCATCACTTAAATATTTGATATTAATTTGGTATTATAAATAATCAACTCTATTCATTAAAAATTACTGCACAAATATATGTTATGCTTGACATACATTATATATTATCAAACAAAAACACATTCTTCTTTTAAACTGTATCAGTCTTGTCTTTACAAAAATCTTTTTTAAAATTTGAACTCAAAATAATAATCTTTTTCATGATCTTTAATATACTTATTCTTTATTTTTCCCTAGATCATAATACCTACTTACGTGTTTGAATCTATCGAAGCTGAACCAACAACACTTGGAGTAGAGATTCCACAATATGAATAAAATAAACATAATTGTCCAGTTTTCATTAATACCATCATGAGAGAATATTATTTTTAAATTTACTAAAGATATTTTCAATAGAATTCTCTTGATTTATAACTCGTACCCACTTTTCTTGCTCTTCCAGACACTTTAGGCTGCCTAGTATAACTATCCTTTCCACCAGGAACACAACAAAGATGAGGCATAGCACCAAAAACACACTCCACTTAAGCTTTATTGATGAATTGTTAGAGTCTTAAAATACACACACAAAAATCACGATGAGTAAAAAATGTATGGGCACTTTTAGGTTAAATCACTTACACAACGTGTAATTTTTTAATTTTTCTATTTTTTTATGCGAAACCGAGAGTGACCATATATCTGGTAGTAGTTTATGTCACTTAAACACCAAAATAATTAGTTTTTTGCACTACAATAATAAATAATACCATAAATCATAGAGTTAAAACCAAAAATCAACCGACAAAATATGAAACGGAATCTAACCCAATATCTAAGTATGTACAGCTGATGAAGTAAACAAAAGTCCGCCCGTAGGCTGATCTTTTAACAGAAGGCACTGGATAGTCAAGGCTTTATCTGTCACTCTTGTCAATAATTTATCGGTAAGGAAGATTCCTAGAAAATCGCTTGTAGTCAAGTTTTCAACCATTGCCAGTTCTCCCATAAGAAGTGTCATCCACTTGAATGACATTTTGAGAACTCACTAGTCACGTATTTTTGTTTTTAGTAAATTGTAAATTTTAGCAAAAACTGCAGAAAGTAAGTCTCTTATAAAATATTTGGTATCAATTTTATGTTCCTTTGGCTTCTTTTATAAATATAAAGTTGTTAGATCAAAATGGGTGACATCATGGAAGAAAAAGCTCAAGAAAGGGTTTATGGAGGCTGTGAGGGTCCAGATGCAATGTACGTGAAATTAATTTCATCAGATGGTCATGAATTCATTGTTAAACGAGAGCACGCTTTAACGTCTGGTACTATCAAGGCTATGTTGAGCGGTCCAGGACAGTTTGCAGAGAATGAAGCAAATGAAGTGAATTTCCGAGAAATACCGTAAGAATCATTATCACAAATCCTTTAATGCATATATTTGCCATGTATATTTTAGATCTCATGTTCTTCAAAAGGTTTGCATGTATTTCACTTATAAAGTAAGATACACAAATAGTTCAACAGAAATTCCAGAGTTTCCCATTGCACCAGAAATCGCTTTGGAACTCCTTATGGCAGCTAACTTTTTGGATTGTTAAATTGGTAATCGACAGACTCTACACTGACTGTTGTGATATGTTAACAAGAAGCGATTGCTTTTAAAATATTCATATTTCAGCTTCAGTCATTGATTGTTTGGCTAATGACTTTTTTCAGTATAAAGATATCAGCATATAGTTCAGCAAAGAAATATGACTTAGTTTTTTCAAGTATCTGTATATAGTTAAGGATCTTATAGACTGAACTTATGTTAAATATGATTTTGTTTCTTAGGCAAGCTTGTGTTTAGTTTTTTAATTTACTTTTCATTTTTTTTTGTTTACAAATGAAGTTAACATGAATATTTAATAATAGATTTTGTTTACTTGACTGTGCCTATTACATAGACATTTCAGATTTGTTTGCATTAATTCTTAATTGAAAATACGGAAGCTGTGTAACACTTAGGAAACTTTTATAACACTTTTAAGATGTGGCTCAATAATCATATATGACAAAATGTAATATTTTTAATTATTTGTAATGTACCATCCACAATACATCTTTATTAAATCTTTTAAGAACATTTACCGACTATGAGTGTTTTTCTAATATTTTGGAAAGAATTTATTCATTCTATTCAAAAAAATTATGCCTGTTTGCTAAAGATGCCTATTATTATTTTTAATAGAATGCCTTTTTTTGATATATAACTTTTGATTTAATTATGCTTTATAATAAAATACTACTAAAAACCGCAACAACCAATAACTGTAAATTATCGCATATTTCTAAAAAATATATTAACTGAAAAATAAGACGCCTTCAATTACTCTGAATTACTAATTAAAATAGTTCGGGTACCATAAAAGAGAATTCGAAACAATAATTATCCCAAAATAAAACCCAAGCGAAAAGCAAAAAATGCATGGCTTGTTTAATTATTTTTTGCAATTATGTGATAATCACATAGACTTAAAATAAAATATAGACTACACTATTTACATCTCAACGCGGACAAACAACCTTTTTTGTACACATGTTTACTTCTGGGTACAGTCGACCGAGCCTTCCTCATCCAGCCTATGTTGTCACGTCTTTAATATTATCAATATTTTTTTTCTTGTTATACACATATATTGAGATATTAATACTACAGTTTAATAAAGTAGGTTTTAATATTCCATAGATGTATTAAATAGTCTATACTATACTACTAAATTATAAGTCGGATACTGTTTAATAAGGATAAGTTCTTTACAATATGACAACACCGATTAGAGGCGAGGGAGCTTATTCATTCATTTATTACCTTGTAGTACGTGTCGCACGTGTGCGGTAAAGCTTTGTTGCCGTTATCTCCCCGGCTGTATTAACGCATTTTCTTAGCTTGTAGTCCTTAAGTGTTTATTTTATTGACTTTTTCTGTTCAAGAACTATAAAATATGGTTCGCCAGTGCCAAATTTGCAAGAAATTTGACATAAATAATCCATTTATGTCCTGAAACGACTTTTGACCGGTAGGCAACTCTCAATTTACCCATTAGGAGTCAGTGGCGTTGTTGTAGAAAGGCGCTTATTTAGATAATATTTTAGTAAAATGTAAAATCTGAATTTTTTCTCTCTTACATTACATTATTTACTTACTTACACTGTAACAAAATCATAATTATAACCCTGTTAATAATTAATAATGTTTTTATTAAAAATATATTCCGGTTTATTCTAAAATTATCTTCAGAATCTTAAATAACATACAAGAATTTTAAAATTATATTACATTGTGAAACAATATTTTTTAATATACCGGGTCGTCTCAAAAGTGGCTCACCCCTATAACTTTTTTATTTTTTCAGATAAAAAAAAAACAGATTTGTATGTTAGTAGGTATATGACATAAATTAGGATTTATTGACGTATTCAATTGTTTTTGGTCTCTTCCTGTTTCACCGAAATGATTACATCTTTTGATTTTTAAAGGCACCCTCGGTATATTGCTACTTTATTCGATAAAAAATGACACTCTGAATAGAATGACATATCATATGTCAACTTTTGACATTGTCGCTTAAAAACATATCCTATTTTAAATTTCAATCCAGTTTTTTCAATCCACTAAGTTTTAATCAAGGAGCCTTGGAAAAATAGTTTTGATCGTCTAATAGGTTTAGTGTCTTGTCTAGGCCGGTTAAAAGATGTACAAATCGTATTTTTAATCATACATATGTCAATTTTTCAAATGGAACAAGGGTGACTCATTAGCATATTTGGAAAAAGCATTTTTTTATGAATATATTGATACCACACACTTGGTATTTCGAGTCAAATTGTCGTTATGAACCGCGTGTTACAATTACAATTAAACCATATGCGAAAATGTCAAAAGTTGACATATGATATTTCATTCTATTCAGAGTGTCATTTTCTATCGAATAAAGTAGAAATATACCGAGGGTGCCGTTTAAAAATTAAAAGTTATAGTCATTTCCGGTGACACAGGAAGTGACCAAAAACAATTGAATGCGTCAATCAATCCTAATTTATTTCATATACTAACATACTAAATCTTGTTTTTTTATTTGAAAATATAAAAAAATTATGGGGATGAGCCACTTTTGAGACGCACCCGGTATAATAAAGACAGTACCGAGTTAAATAAATGTAGTTTTTATTTTATCCACTTCCTATCACCTTCCTTGCTTTAATGGAACAGATTTATGTTTTCTCTAATTTACATAATAAGACATCACTTAACCAGAAAAAAAATTACAACAATCATTTTTTTTTCTCTCCCTGTCGCCGATTCTATTATATCTGTGGAATAGATCCGGTTTTGATTAATATTAGGGGTTGTAAATGTTTGACTAAAATTAATAATTTATTATTAATTTCAAAAATTACGTAATTTCGATTATAAAATTTCTTCTATAACGTGTATTTTATTATGTTTATCCTTTTCGGACTCTAAGACGTTTTTTCTAAACTTTTATTTAAAAAACCTGTCCTAAATCTTAATAAAATATAAAAAAGTTTAAATAAGATATATTTTTAATTTAATTATAGCTTCATTAAAATAAAAAAATTACCCGGCTATGATACGGAGAGTTCAGGTGTACTTGAGAAACGAAAGACAGTGTTGTGTTTCTCGGCAGGGGTGCAACTTTGTTCAAGTTAGCAACCGATCGTTTAGAAGCGATGTCAAAGCCAGATCGGTACTATGTTCATTGCAAAACTATTGTCGCTCAAATGCTGCGAAATATGATATCACTATCACACTCTTGCACACGTGTGCGACACGGTCTAGGCTATGTCTAGGCAGTCGCCTCGCCACAAAGCGAGAAATCAGAATATCGCTACGAATCGATGTTGCTACTGAACATAGTGCCTCAAGCTACAAATTACTTTACTATCGCTTTGAAACATGAACAAAGTTGCACCCCAGAGTCGTCAGGGAACGACCGTTACGACAGAGACAACCTATCTATCGCTCGTGTCGCACTCGTTATAACCTAAAACAATAACACAACAATAACAAGACAGTGTCTGACCGCATGTTCCAGCTATTTATGAATGAGATGCTCAGTCTATATTTTATTTTAAGTCTATGGATAATCATTTTTAGTGGTGTATTAGTTACACACCATAATTTTTTGTCTGTCTCAAATCAGAAGTGGAGTGACCTTCGCAACTTCGCATAGAGGCTGGAGACAACGATTCGATGTCGCTATAAACTAGATTAGGCTATAGACGATAAGCCTACTATAATATAGCAAACTATATTATGGCGCATTCTCACCACTCGTCTGCTTGGCAAGTATCCCTACCAATCCTCACTTTGTAAACAACATTGGCAAGTGTAGCGCTCACACGACGTGTCCATTTCACAAGTACGGCAGCACAAACATTATTTAAATCCTTGGCAAGTAAACAGTATAGTCGCATCAGAAAGTGAGATAAAAATAATTTTCACTGGAAAGCAGAGCTTGGAATCGACGCATCGATTTTTAGGCAATGACTGGCTGTTATCTGTGATGGCTAGTTACTTATTCTATGGGCTACAGCCGAAGTCTTTTAAATGTATTTGCCATCTATCTGTAACTAGATGGATTAATTCTATTTATCTACGAATAATCAAGATTGACTGTTCTTGAATAACCACAGTTACTTATCTATGATAATCACCCTTTTTATGATTGCTTTCTGTCATATTAATTTTAAATATTGTTTGGTCAGCGAGAGAATATTATTTTTACAGGCATCCTAAAAATATAAAATCTTCAATTAAAACTGAGATACAACTGTCACATATTCTTCGTTTGGCATTATTTTGGGCTGGAATATATTGTAAATTGGGAATTGGTATTGTGGGAAATATTAAATAAAACCATCTATATTATTTGTTATGTACATTTTAGGTTTGTCATGCTAGAAACAGTGTTTACGTCAAGATTACTAAAATTGTATTTATCACAGAATCAGTGAACACCACTCTCTCGCTCTCTCTCTCTCTCTCACCTACCTTAAAATAAAACACCCGTAGTAAATTAACATAAACAAATACAAAAAGAATTTAACATTAAATTCGGTTTGAATCGTACAAATTCCAACTTTTTCTCGATCCTTATTTTTTTCAAGTAACATAATACTAAATCAAATGAAAAATATAAAACATTTTTTACGCATACATTTTTTTGTTGATTTTTTACTCTTTTCATCACAGCACGTATGTTTATGCAATTTTTGTAGTATTACAAAAAAAAATAACTTAATTTAATTACATTTAAAACGAAAAACTACTTTTGTGGGTAATTTTTTCAATTTGTTACGCCTAACTAAATTTAAGACAATTTGAAATCCTAACTAAAACTAAATAATTTACTTGTTTATCTCTTATTAATATGATAACTTCATGGTTTATTTTTGCAAATTTGAACTGTAACTCCTTACCATACTGTTGAACATACTCACTCCCATTTTGTTAAATAAAAATTCTTACAAAAATTCAAATAAATGCTCAGTTTCGGGCAAAAAAGGAACTAGGTAACACGTTGCGGTTAAAATCGCTTGGAATCGTGATAGACGATTTTCCATAACCTAGGCTGAGATCATAGTAAATAGAATTCTATTTTGCTGACGTCATCTAAAATCCAACTACAAAGTATTTTTTTGCGACGATTGTCCGTTGCTAGGGAACGCGACGTCACCATAATGGTCTTTAGAACATATTATTGTTCAATACAATGTATCAAAGAATATCTTAGTTATACAGAAGCAACAGTAAGCAGCGCCAGCTCCTTTGAAATGTGTCCCAAGTAGTTTATTTTGACAGTTTTTAAACTCACTAGAACTCTAAAAACATCTAAGATTTTATTAAAAGAATAATTTTAAATACGGGGACATATTTTACTGAACCGTCATATTTTATACTAAATTTAGTGAATACAAATTTCAAAAAAAAATACAATATAAAATGAAATTGATTACAGGGGATAAAAGAGGACACATTAACAAGTGATGAGCATTAAAGTTTGTCCTTTTTGAGAGTTTTTGCATTATAATATAAAATATAAATAATATAAACTGAAAGACGAACGATAGGTATTTTTCTTCCCTTCAATATAAACTTCTGCAATTATTTCTACATTCATTTTAGAAATATAAGGAAATAAATTAAAGTTTTACAATGGTTATTAACAGAAAACACAGTTTTAATGGGTCTTTACTAATTCAAAACAGTAGTTTTTTGTTAACTTGAAATGGTTTTTACACTTAAAAAACTAGCTTTTTTATGTTACAGCTGCTCATAGTTATTAAACAAAATTTGACACCCACCGTCATTAAATTATAGCTTAAATATATCACAAATGAACTCACTTAAAATATATTCCAAAAAAAATTGCCCGTGTCGCTTCTGTATTTAAGCATAAAGACTCTGTAATATAGGGAATATATAGAGTACCGCAATTGGTTCGTCTTCTATGGAGTCAAAATCGCGGATGCCTGGTGATATCACAGATTAGACAGATTATAAACTTATCGTCAAAAGCAATGTTTTCCGTCGGTAAAAGTTTCACGCCCAAGTCGGTAGGCCATTGACCATGATATGGCCGAGGACAGGATTCCGCGTAAATAAAGTAGGCCCCGTCCAGATTAGCCCTGGTAGCAATAAGGAGACGTTAACTATTATGCCTGTGTGCCCTAAGCTACTGGGGAAATTCAACCATATTCATTTTCCTAGTGTTTACTAGATAAGCGGCAAACTTCGCTATCATTTGGGCCACTATACCGGCTTGATATTTTTTTAATATCAACAAGAAGACAGTGAGATTGTGAAAGAAAGATAAAAAAGTGGTTATTTTAATATATTAAGGCGGACTCTTGATATACAGGGTCCGGCGATAGATAACTTAACTAATTCTGTATAGATGTGTACAACACCCTGTTTACCAATAGCAAATGTTTGTCAAATACATAATACACGAGTCGTCAGAGCGCGCTATTATGTTTAATAGACCTTTTTATGATTTTTATTTGTCACTTGTAATTCATCAGCATTGCCAAGTGTATTTTGGTTGTGGTTTATAAAAATATATGCCTTTATTTTTGAATTTCTCACCTCTAAATGCAACCAAAATTGAGTCAATTGTGGTATTCTATAATATCTAGAGCCTTTAGCTACGCAATTCTGTGATGCAATGTCTTTAGGACATTTGAACTACTGTTCAATACAATGTATAACTTTAGTACTTAGAACATCTGTAGTTGTTAATGCGGGATTTTTAAAATATGTTTAAGAGACTTCATCCAAAAAAGCAATTTTAAATAATATAATTTTTTAACAAAAATGGAAAATATCCATTGTAGGACCTGTATATCCCGCCAACCTTGTGATAATACCGTTTGTTTGACTAGTTCCTTTTTTCCACTCCGTAGTAGTAGGCCTGTCTATGTATAAATGCTACCGAATAGCGTTGATGATATTGGTTAGTTTATCGATGGTCAGTTCCAGCGTTTTGGTTTTTTGTTTGTTGTGCTGCTGTAGCCTGAGCAGCTCTTTTTGTCTGGACTCGAGCAAGCGCAGTTCGTGTTGCTGCTTGCTCAAAAAGTCTTTTGTAAGATACTTTCGCTGTTTCAATTGGTTGATTTCTTGAACCCTTTCTGAAAAAAATATATGGAACAGTGAAATTTAATAATTTTAGTATTGGATAAGGGACGACAGAGCAATCTATCTTATTGGATAAGGGACGACAGAGCAATAATATCTTTTCATGGGTGTTTTATTTTACTTTTTTCATGACAAATTTAAATGTTTGCTAGTCCATTGCGTTTGTACATGTCTGGTTTGTATTATTTCTTGTTTACTTTAATATTGGTTTTATAGGAAGAGTATAAATTTGGAAAGACATTGCAGCAGCACACGAATTAACTCAGAGCCAAAACGCACGAGACGGTTTATAGATGTCGCGCGTCGGCAACTTTGATAGTAGACAGTAGAGAACAACGGCATGCGGTCGAGTCGGCCGCTCCTGGCACGTATACGCAGACGTAAAGAATCTTTTACGTGTATAAAAAATAGAAAATATAAGAAATGCGCATGCATACGTAAACGTTTACGTGTTTGTAGGCCGACTCGACCGTATGCCGTAGTTCTCTAGTTAAAGCACGGCCAAAGACGTAGACGTAAACGTATCGTTTGACATGTACGCTTGCGCAGTGAGAAATTCACTTGCGTTTAAGGATACGTGATACGTATCTTTACGTAGGTACAAAACGCAAACGTATCGAGCCGAAGGAGTTTCGATTTTCACCCGAATGATGCCAAATGTACAAATTCACAAACAACTCGTTTCCACAACTGGCTAGTAATTTACGTTATTTCATAAATTTTGGGGCCAGTGTAACAGAACTGGGCCTATTTTATTACAATAAATTAGGATGAAAATATTAAGCATCATAATAAACTCATTTTGGAATCTATTTAATTAAATGCTAGTTCTTAGCCAAAATCCATATGAGGATTCTTAAAGATGGAATCTAATAAATAATCATAAAACTGTGTCTGTTTTCCAATATTGTTTTATTGCTAAGAGCATTTAAGTTGTAAGAGCTACTTTCTGTAATAAAATAATTTCCATTTATAATTGTCTTAATTTTTCCAACTTTTATAAGTTTAACGTGGAAATGTTTAGCGAGGAATAATATATAGATATCCATTTTCAGTTTTAGAAGTAAATAAATTGTTTCACAAAATAATTTAGAATTACAAATGTAACATTTGCGTTACGTACGTCAAAATACTTGCTTTAACTCTTGTTTACACGACAACGCAATGGCAGACGTAACATAGGTTTCTGCGTTACGTGTCGAGAGATATGTATACGTATTGTGCCTTGCTTTCACTGTCTAGTAGTAACGTTACGCTCGGCGGCCGATGTCGACGAGATACCGTGTTTTTTTTAACATTGAGGTCCCCTTAACGAGCCGACACAGACGCCCATAAACCGTCTCGTGTGCTTTGGGTCTAATTATGTTTCGTGGAACTTTTTTCCGAGACAGTGGAGTGTTTGTTTCTCAGATTTTGTCAGATTCAGCTCAAGATATTATGAATTCTTACCTTTACTATATTTATAGTACATTTCGATGATTTCCATTATACCTGGCCATTTTCCATGTTCAGAATCATCGTCGAGATTTTCTTGATCAATTTCCTGACCACGATTATGTTTTTCAGTTTTAGAGTCGTTTTTCTTCCATTGGAGCGTCAAAGGAATTTTAAAAACGTCTCTGTCGCACTTAGTGTAGGTGTCTTCAACTTTAGGCAAAATTTTATCAGGTTCTTTGGGTTGTTCATTCGTGTGAAGTTTATTTTGCTCTGATTTTAGGTAGTACTTTGTCAAAGAAGAGTCACAACGTCTTTTTAGGCGGTCGCATAAGACTTTTTGCCAAGCCTTTTCCATTTCTAAGAACACAAGAACTTACTTAGTACTGTATGACTAATTTTTGTCCAATTTCTATTGAGTACATTTTTGTTTTAAATTTCAGAAAACATTACCTCTTCTGTTGTTGGTAGGTACCCATCCCAATCCAAGCACATTCAGAAAGTTTTTTTTAAATTTAAAATCGTATTCGTGATTTAAAGTTGTTGGAGACTCAAATGGGACAGGAACATCCAAATGACTTATTCTTGCAGAGCTCGTATGGATTTGTACCGTAAGAGGGCTATAATAATGTTGTCTTCTTTGAATCTTCTCTACTTCCAGATCTACAAAATATTTTAAAAACATTGTATCAAAGTTAACACTATAAAAAAAATCAAAATTTACTGTTCTTGTCTTTGTGAGTAGCCAAATCTAGTTTTCTTAAAAAATCTAGCTGTTTTCTGCAAGGTGGTTTCCTCAGAGGCGGTCCTGATTTAATTAACAAATCGATACGAGATGGCGTTTCACTTTCGCTTTCTGAACTACTTGAACTATCAATGATATCTAGTCCGTCGCCCAAGATCCGAGCTCCAGTATGAGTATACTAAAAAATTATAATTATAGAACAAAGTTACCGCTTCCTCTAAAAGTAAGAGCGAAAATCGAATATGCATACAACCGGTCTGCTACATACAAAACTGAATCACAGAATACATTAGCCTTGTGGCACATTGCGCGTTTTTGTGGTTGCAGCAAAAATGCATGCGTTTCAACGGCATCAACCCTATAAACTATATACTAACTATATAAAGGCGTGCGATGTCGCCATTTCTACGTTTTTACTGCAGACGCAAAAACACACAAGTTGGCCCTGTTAAAGTTGTATCCCAATTTTTTTTACCTTCAAGTCACATACCGTGCTGCGTGCTGGCAACTCTTACTTTTGGGTCGGTATTTACATGTGTGGAAGTAAATCGCATAGGGATCTTATTAAGTCGGAGTGAGAGAACTGCGACGGTGTGCTGTTGCGGCGCTGCCACATTTCTCCGGTACGCCTTTCCCTCTCAAGTAAAGTAAAATCACGATTGCAAGCCGCTTATTTTTAAAAGACTTTTTTTTTGAATATATAACTAGATAAAAGCATTAGATATGTTTCTGAGTATCTGAAATGAAATTATAAGGATATCGTTAGGGTGTCCATATTTTTTATAACGACAAAAAGTCAGTACCTAATAACGATAATTTAAAAACTCAACTTTTTAACACATAACACGCGATAACTCAAAAATCACTTTAGATATTGAAACTATTTTTATTTTGAAGTTCAAGTCACAAGATGTTTAAATAAGAAAAATTCGATAAACTTGTTTTTTTTTTCATTCAAAAATTTTAAAATACCCATCCATTTACTTTGAGTGCATTGCGATTTTCAGCAATCGTCTAACTTTTTTATTTATAAAGATTTTCACATATTGTCTGCGAAGAAAATATAACAGAAATATTAAGAAAGTTTTTGAAAAAAACTACACTCAATTATTTCTAATGGATTTCGAAATATCGATTTTTGAATTCAGAGAAACTAACCTAACCAACTCAATTCCACTTATTTTTACCAAAATGCAAGTGTTTCTTACTTTTTTAATCAATTTTACAAGCTACCGGGAAAATTACAACGACTCGTTAATAAATAAACAAATCAAAAGTAACACGAGACGTAATTGAATCGTAAAGCTGAACGCATGATATACACCCTTCTCTAGAATTTTAAGTACCGATTGGGCCGACCGCGACGAATCTGCCGTATCCCCTTCCACGTATCTTAGCAATGTTAGTTTATTTCATACGTTTGGCAACGCTTTTACTGTTCTCTCTTTGTTCAGTACATTATAAACGGATTGTACTCTTTTTACATACGGAAATCTCGACCCAAACTAACCTTTGCCAGCCCTGAGTATATTGACTTGTACATTGAAAAAGTCTAGAATTTCACCGAGAAAAAAATGTGTACACCGGGAAAGATGATTACTTTATATACCTAGCTGTTGTTTTATTGTTACGTTATAAAAACAAGGATTAAAAGAGGAAAGGGGAAGGAATAACCATGCATGGGTACTTAAGCGCTTGTTCTTATCAATAAAGACAAAATATGGGAATTTAAATTAAATATTTAAATAGGTCGTTAATAGAAAAAAGCGATTTAAACCTAGATTTTGATATCCGGCGTCATTAAAATAACAGTCTCAAAAGGTTAGGTTAATTTTACTTTCAAAACTGCGTGCATTCGTTATCTTGGATACATCTTGTCATAATGCATACCGGTTATATGACAATCGTTGTAGTCTTAGAACTATAGTCTGTCCAACAAGAGAATACATGACAGTGATCGCCTGTCATTTTAATTTACAGGTAAATTATATTTTGTCATTTTTTGGATGCCATCTATCGAATTCTTCCCTGATTCGTTGGACAGACTATAAATATTAAAGAAGTAGTTCATTGGTACCTCATGTCCGTTACACAGATTCCGCATGCGCTTAGCTTTCCGACGCAACGTTGCCAAGTCTAGTTTGCTGATTTTTGGCTTTTTTGGTGGTCTGACGCTGGGAATCGATACGCAATATGTAGGAATATTGAGTACTGCAGAGGTGTTTTGAATTTTAGCTGGGGAATGCGATGTAGTCGAAACGTCTAAAAATTTTCTCTTGATTCGTTGTTTGGGTGGTGCTTTTGGCATTGGTACTTTAGGCACTTCCAAGGTTGAAGTTGTCGGTTGTTTGGGAATTGAGGTTATAACACTTTGCGGAACTACAAAAAATTATATTTTTTTACCATTGAGACAAAACAGTCTTTAGGCGCAATTTCTAATTTGAACGTAGAATTATTTAACCCTCGAGCGGTCGCGTCCGGAATTTTGCACCGCAAGTTTGCTAATTTCAATAAAACAAAATATTCGTTGGACGTAGGTCGGTGGTAGTTAAAAATTCTTATTCAGGGATATTTGACACCCTTGGTAGTCTTAGTTGCGTATCCAGCGATTTTGCTTCAGTAGCAATTCTGTCGTAAACTTGACAACTATACCGGGTGCGGTCTCAAAAGTGGCTCACACCTACAACCTTTTTTTTTTATTTCTTCAGATAAAAAAACGAGATTTGGTATGTTGGTATATGGCATAAATTAGGATTAATTGAGGTATTCAGTTATTTTCGGCCACTTCCTGTTTCACCGGAAGTGACTACAACTTTTGATTTTTAAATGGCACCTTCGGTATTTTTTTACTTTATTCGATAGAAAATGACACTGAATAAAATGACATATAATATGTCAACTTTTGACATTTTCGCTTAAAAATAAATCGTATTTTAAATTTCAATCTAGAGTGCCATGGTTATGTTAAAAACAATAAATGTTAATCAAGAAGCCTTGGAAAAATATGTTTGATCGTCTAATGTTTTTCGTGTCTTGTCCCTGGCCGGTTAAAAGATGCCCATATCGAATTTTTAATCATATTTCAATTTTTTCAAATGGAATGAGGGTGGCTCATTAGCATATCTGGAAAAAGCATTTTTTTACGAATAATTTAATACCACACACTTGGTATTTCGAGTCAAAATGTCGTTATGAACCGAATGTTACAATTTTAAATAAACCATATGCAAATATGACGTATTGACAAAAAATGACATGTTGACATGTCAGACGTCTTCTATTCAGAGTGTCATACTATCAAATAAAGTAAAAAATACCGAAGCTGCGATTTAAAAATCAAAAGCTGTAGTCATTTCCGGTGAAACAGGAAATGACCGAAAACAATTGAATACGTTAATCAATCCAAATTTATGTCATATACTAACATACCAAATCTCGTTTTTTTATGTAAAAAAATTAAAAATTTATAGGTGTGAGCCACTTTTGAGATGCACCCGGTAGAAGTTGCGGTACTCCGTGCCGCTACGCCCTCGGTTATGTCAGTACAATAGATATCACATTATTTATTTATTTTGCTTTATTTGGGATAGTTTTTAATTTTTTGATTGTCTTTTTTTAGTTTTGCATACTAAAAATGTTTCGTTCGGATCCTTATTTAGAATACGCTTTTTATGTGTTAATAAAGTAAATATACATATTAAAAATGGTTGCCTGTTATTGTTTAGCATGTTAAATTCTACAATAAAATATTTTAAATTACAAGATATTCAAAAAATAGAAATGCGATACAAAATTCTAAAGGACGCGCCTGCCCAAGGGTTAAAATGGAGTACAAACACTTCAAAGAAAAGGAAAGAGAAGGAAAGCGTACCAGTATATAGGGGCCGTTTGTGAAAGGTGATCTGGTCCTTTCTCTCATAACGGCTCTTACAGTTGTAAGCACAACAAAACACCATATATAAATAATAATAATTTCAAGTCTTTAAAAAGTTTTTTATGGCACAAACTACATAAAAACTCACAATCGGTGGCCAATTTTAGGAGCCAGACAAGTCACAAAATTTAATATTGACCGTAGATGTCTATTACGCGTCCCCTCTATTTCCTTGTCTAAGTACAAAGATATAAAAGACGTATAAAAAATATTTTATGATTTCTGATATACTTACCACAAGATATAACAGAGACTTCATGAGCTTTTTCAACGATGATGGTACTGATTACTTCCGCCTTCATTCCCACCCTTTCCATGACATTAGGTTTGTCAGGCGAACGCATTGGCAGCACCGCCTGCTTCGCCTTAAAATCCGCCTCAATTCCTATGTTTAATGGCGTGTGCGCGTGCTTAACTTCCAGGCCTTTGTCTGCGCAAGCGTATATCTTATCGATGTAGTTGTCTTCTTTTGTGTTGCCGTTAGTTTTTAACGTTCTTAAGTATTTGGGAGGATTTTTTATATCGGAATGAACGACCGTCCCATTTTTGTAGATTTTAAAAGCCTCCATGTCTTGTTCGAAGTTTTCAAAAGGTTTATTATTTTCGGTTGCTTGAGTTTCCTTAACAAACGTTTGAGGTTCGATGTTAGTATTTTTCTCGTCTATTCTAGAAACTTCCTCGTTGTTTCCAATCGTTTTAGGTGTATCTTTGGCATTTATCATGTTCTTACCTAGTTCTGGTGTTGCTTTGATCATGCATTGGTCTGTAGGTATGTGCCTCGCTGTCTCTCTAATTACGCTTTCGTTAGTATTAGTTAGAAAACTGATATCATAGTGTTTTGACTTTGATTTGCTTTCTGTGAGTTGTTCTTCCGATGGTGTTACATCTGAGTTGGGTTTCTTCCAGTTGGTATTATCGTGAACAATGGTTTGTTTGGGGGTTAATGGGAGCTTCCTGGCTGAAACAAGGGAGATGATTGTTGGTTTTAAGACAGGGCTATGCTTCAAAACAAGTTCATAAATCTTTAGAAAATATTTTTGGATTTAATTTGTTTACCTTCAATCATATTTATAATAGATGAAAGAGAAATGAGTTAAAATGATTTGAGTTGGGAGATCAAGCTGAAGCACACATTAGTATATAAGCGCTTACTAGTTAGTAGCACACATTTTTAAATTAGATTAGTTCATAAATAGACATATTAGATTTGACATAAAAACTGTTTGATTTGGTTAGTTCAAGACCATTCAGTCATAACAAATATTTTTTAACCAATTTTGCAAAACAACATTCCTTATCGTTGACGGCCCAGTGTTGCAAAAATTTGTTTATAGTATTCCCATAATTAATGACAAATTTGTTTTCTAAAAGCTCGTCCAAGAAACTACAAATAAACATAAAAGGACATAAGAATTAAAGAGTGACATACATTACATACAATTCAAAATTACATTGGCAACACTGGTAAGGACAGCATACACTCAGCCTCTACCCCGAACAAAATAACCTCTAAGTCAAAACTGCTTTCACATTAAAATAGGAGAAATACGGAAACTTGTTATATGCGTTAACAGAGACAACGCGTAAGTAAACGTAAAAACAGAGTAAGTAAACTGACGAGTAGCGACAGTCCCGTTTTCAATTTTCTTTGCGGCTGCGCGAAATAAGTAGTCTATCTGTCATATGAAGAAGCGAAGTTTGGTTTGGTTTGGCCATTTATCAAATATCTCTATATACTTTATTTAAAGTATGCCTCAGGCAACAACTCATTTTTTTAATTATTTATTAGCTGTAAGATATTTTATACATTCAAACTTATTTATTTATCAATTTGAACAAATTTATTTATATAAAACTTTATAATTAATTCCACTTCAAATTATGAGCAGTGTATACCATGTTTATAAAAAAAAACACGTCAAAAGAGAGAAAGAAAATTTGGTCCCATCACATCAAAAGAGCCGACGGTTTCTGCCGCTACTCGGCGATCTACTTACTCTGGTAAAAGTATGCCTAGATATTCTTACCTTACCTAACATCATCAAAGGTGTACGCACATGGCGCTATACGCGTTTTTGGCATAATTTTGATGTGATTTTGAAATCAATTTTTAAGATTTAAAATATTATCTTGCGATTTCATCAATACCTAACCTAACGTCTTATTTAAATAAAACCCGTTAACCGAGGACGATGAACTTGATATGATTTTCAAGTCAAACGAAATAAAGATATTTTTGTAATAAAAAAAATATGAAAACATAAAACCTTGGAGTTTGCTCAAGTGATCTTTGTTTTTTATTTATAATTAATTTTTCTTTTCTCGGTGTCAATGTCATGCAAATAAATTATGCATTTTAGATAGATTTTATAAAATTGAAGTTATAAAAAATAAAAGTCCAATTAATGATTGTAGGTCTGACATGAGAAAACGGTTTTGACCAAGAGGCGTATCCACGCAAGCTCCCACAACACAATTAATTACCGAAACACAAGGGTTCAGCTGGAAGGATGCTGGTAGTGGTGGTGGTGGATGATGCGCGGTGGCAAACGGCAAGCGTAACCGGAGGTCAGGCACAGTCCCCGTTGCTCGCCTCACCTGCGCAGAGGGGCGGCGCATGGGACCCCGCCTCTTCCTTGGGAGGAGGCGGCGTCGGTTTGGGCGTGGGTGGTTGCGAGTGGGCCGGCGGTGGTTGGGGCGTGGCCGAAGAGGAGGCGTTGATTAGTGGGCCGGAGGGTTGAATTACGGTGGCCGACTGACGGGTTGAGCCGGACAGGTTCAGGCCGCCGTAGGAGGAGACGTGGGGGGAGTGGCGTTGTAACGACGGCGAGGATCTGAAAAGAAAGGTACATTGTTTGTTGAAACCTTAGATCTTATAAACTTCGTGGATAAGTAAATTCGCAAGTCAGCGACATTCGACTCTCTCATTATCTTTGTCTTTGACACTGATTGACCAATCGTCTCTTTCTTTTGGGCATACGTCATTTTTATGTCATAAAATAGAAAATATAAATATATAAATTGGAGAAAATAATATTGTTATTCAAGTATTAATTATTTAAAGAAAAAAATTCAAAAGTAAATTGCCTATTAATGTTTAAAGCGATTAAGTTGCCTAACATAAATAAATATTTCACTGAATAAAAGTCGGTTTAAAAAACGATTTTAAATAACACATATCTTGTTTTTTGAAAATATGGAACATACTTCACAGGTTTTCATACTTTTAGTGTTGTGGAGTTCTTTTAAGGGTACAATTTTTTTGACTGCGGACAGCTTCATATATCGTCGCTTTCCACACTAAGTGTCCTAACTGACATTTTGAAAATTTTACAGTACAGCAAAAAAAACATATTTTAATGTGATTTAACAGTCCCCACAGTGTCGTAACAGTAACAGAAAAGGACCCTATACCTACTGTAAAAGACAAAATAAATGACATATCTAACAAAAGTTAATATTTAAATCACACTAAAAGACGGGTTTTTTACTCATAACTGCAAAATTTTCAAAATGTTACAACACTTTGTGTAGAAGGCGACGATATTAGCTAACACTATTATTAGTCACAATGTCTACTTATCCACTAACTTTATTACACTACAAAAACAAACTTTAAAAAAGAACACAAATCTAAAATATCGTCGGAAATCCAAATCAACTCTTTATTATCACGTGTCAAACAGTGTACAAAAAGCACAAAAAGTGGCATTAATTAAATTTCTTTATTGTTTTGACTTTTCAATGTTAAAACATATTCTAATGTTTTCCTGCTTACTAGTTCTATGTGTTGCCCATAATGCCCATTCATCATACCTATTTTTCAAAGTAGTATTTTAAAACATAAATTATATATTTGATTTACATAAATTATTTTTAAAAAATAATTTATCGTTATGATTTAAATTTTGTTTAAAATTTATACAGGGTCCGGCAATAGTGTGTCGGGCATCTGTAGCTCCTAGAATAAACAACTTGAGAATTTTGTTTAAGTGCATACCTGAAGTATGTACCAGGATGTATTTCAGGAAAATATTTTAACTTCTATAGAGTGGCTCAAAAAAGTGTGAGTGGACCTGGATAATTTTTTTTAAATGGAACACCTTGTATATTATTACATTTTTGGCCTCCTTTCCGATCACTTTACATAACCCTAAGATATGAATAAATATATTTTGATAGTTTCAGAGATATTAAAAAATAAATCAAAAATATATATTTTTTTAGCCTTTCTTAAAAAAATTATTAAAAATACAAAAACTGTTCTGAAAACAAAACTATATTAGGTATTTACTTTAGATGGTCTGTACTTACTTTGCTATAAATATGAAAATCGTAAATTATACAGGATGTTCAAAATTCTAAGCCAAACTTTCTAAAATATAAAATAATTTTTCTTCGTTTTTTTAAATGGAACACCATGTATATTATTTTTTCAATAGACGGAGAATTAAAAAATGAACATTTTTTATATTTAGAGTATTTCAAAATTTTTAACGGTTTCGCAGATATTTGCGGTTTTATATTTCATATGGCATTTTCCACAGTAAATTTTTATCAAAGCCACCCAGTAATTTTTCTCTCGTATTTTACCATTGAAAGCGCCATATGAAATAATACTGTGTGTATCTGCGAAACCGTTAAGAAATTTGAAATACTCTAAATACAATAAATGTTCATTTTTAAACTCTCCATCTAGTAAAAAAATAATATACAGGGTGTTCCATTTAAAAAAACAAAGAAAAAATATTTTATATTTTAGAAAGTTTGGCGTAGAATATCGAACATCCTTATGAATTACGATTACCATATTTACAGCAGAGTAAGAACAGACCATCTAAAGTAAATACCTAATATCGTTTTGATTTCAGAACAGTTCTTGTATTTTTAATAATCTTTTTAAGAAGGGCTAAAAAATATATATTTTTAATTTATTTTTTAATATCTCTGAAACTATGGAAATATATTTATTCATATCTTAGGGTTATGTAAAGTGATCTGAAAGGAAGCCAAAAATGCAATAATATACAGGGTGTTCCATTTAAAAAAAATTCCAGGTCCGCTCACACTTTTTGAGCCACCCTATAGAAGTTAAAAATATTTTCCTGAAATACATCCTGGTACATACTGTTGCGGACCCGTGTGGACTCGACCTAACCTAACTATATGTCCCGCCCTCAGATGACCTTAACATCGCATTAAAGAATAGACACCGTAATGATTCATTCGTTCGAGAAGAATCGAGTCCCACTGGAATGTACTAGTACATACGAGAACATTCGAAAACCTTCTCTACGCACCTAACGATCTATGGACTATTCTAGAGTTCTTTACCTGTCGATATATAAAAGCCGGCGGCTGTGGCCTACAGGGGGCAGTTATAAATATACAGTTGAGGGTTGGAACCTTTGGTGAAGAAAGACAGCAATAGGGAAATAATATTAACAAATCACTTGTTACTTTTACGTAAAAGTGTTTTGGTGTATTGTGGTGATTTAGTGTTTTATTTTGCTATAAATATACAGTTGACGCGCTAAAATTCAAAATAAATTCTTAGTTATAAATCGTTTGTAAATAGTTCTATAAGTCTTTTATCGTTATTGTTTCTGTTAATTAGTGTTAAATAAATAGTGTTTAAATAAATTGTGACTTTCTATCCACACGGAACCGACGAAAAACGTAACAATACTTTAGGTTTGCACTAAAACAAAATTCTCAAGTTTTTTATTCTAGGAGCTACAGATGCCCGACGCACTATTGCCGGACCCTGTATAAAAGGTATATTGAAATAACATGACAAATATTTTCAAAATAATTAATACATATATCAGTTATATCTTAATTAAACATTTTTAATAGTCTATATTTTTAGTAATAATTGTTGTCAACGCAGCGAAAAAACGTTCCAAGTTAGCATTCACGTCTAATATCGTTCTGCGCATATATCAGTAGCGTATTCAGAGAGAAAGATAGGTTTATACGATAATCTTGTTTTAGAAACAAATAAATAGAAAAATGCATGTAAAAGTCCTGTAAAGAAAGTTGTGTGTAATATACATATGACATAGTTTTATCCACGAAGTTTATAAGATCCAAGGCTACAAAAGTTTTTAGTATTTGTAAACTCTTTGTAATGATATTACATCATATTAATACTATTCTTTTTACCTGGGTACTTGAGGATAATTTTGAGGAGGCAAATAATTCGAAGCTGCATTGAGTGGAGAGTGTCTAGCTGATGGCGAGGTTAGACTCAAAGGCCCTGTAGGAGGGAGCATGCCAGAAGTCGAAGGGTGCATGACAGGAAGCCCCAACAGGTGAGGCGCGGGCCCCGTGGTGTGGGGCGATACCCTGCGGGCTGCCTCCGCTGCCTTTTCGCGCGCCAGTCGTTCTTTTTCCCGTTCTCGTTCCAGCATTTCCCGTTCCAACTCGGCGTCCTTCGAACGAGCAGCAGCTACCGCGGCGTACCTCTGTCTTTGTTCTTCTTCGATTTTTAACCTTTAAAAATCATTAGTCACTTTTTCTATTAATATTTTATAATTTGAAATATTATACAAACCTTTCGTGCATATACAAAGGCATTGCAGGTCCACTTGGTAACATATAGTGCAGATACGGATGGCCTATCGTTGGCCAGGACGGCCTCAATATCCTCTCGTAGTATAGTTGTTCTTCAATCAATGGCAGAGGATAGGCGCTGTAAGGTGAATAACCGGTCATGTCCAACCCTACAGCCACAGGTGGTGGTATCCTGTGGTCTTCGGGTCTGTATGGTTGGAACCCGCTCCTACTCATCTCGGCTAACGTTGATGATGAGTATCTATCTGCAGGATTCGAACTCAGTCGGGTGTCGATAGCAGATCGACTTGAGGGGTAAGTAGGAACGTCTAGTGATGTCTTGTTCTTTTCAGGTATTGGCACGGAAGCTGCAATAGTAAAAAAATGCGATTAAAAATCCTTCGCTAGGTCAGAAGAAAATCTTACCTGACTCTCTAGTTCGATGGACGTTGGGCGTGTCTAAACTCGGCTCCGCCCCCGGTACATTCTGTTGAGCGAGGTTTCGTAAAGCCGCCGCGAAGGAGTGACTATATTGGCTGGCGGACGCCAGGGAGGGGGCGTGGCCATGGCTGGAACGTAACTTAGAGCTGGTAGTAGGCGCCGAGGGCGGCGCGGATACGCCCCCACTCAGACTGCCATTGGTCGAGGCCGATACGGCGGGAGGTAGTTTGTTGGGACTGTTTGGTATGCCTGAAAAGGATTTTTTCATATGTGCAATAAAGATATACTATTTGTTTTTATCAGAATGTTATTATTATTTGTTTCTATAAAGGCGGATTCTCACGACTCGTCTACTTGGTAAGTACGTCAATATTTGCGTATACGTCGTACAAAATAAAAACCGTTGCGGGCTATCGATTAGGCTAATAAATGTGTGCAGTGCTACCACTACACAAATATGGCCCTTATGGGACGTTTTCAATGAGTTTTAAGTCTCCCACTCGATATTGTGTTGGCAACGGCGAGGAAGCGGTTGCAGCGGTGCCACGTTTATTTGACATTTGCCAGAATTTTCTGAACGTTAGTTGAGAGTTGTGTCTCGTGTGTATTGTATCTTTTAAAAACCTTTATCTATCGATCGAAAACTGTTGTTTTCAGAATATTTTGTGTAGTAGTTGTTAGTTTTTTCTTTGAAAAATGCCTAAGCAGTTAAATAGTCGGTGCCAAGAATTAGTGTCATCTCTCATACAATATTTTGAGAAAGAAAGGGACAATAACGGCCCGTTATGTTATAATAAAGTATTTTAAAGTAGACCAGTGAAGTGAGTTTTTTTTTGAAAAATCATTTAAACCTATCATTATTGTTTGTGTTGGAACATGGAATCTTGTAAAATATGAACAATTTAGCATAAAAGAAAATAAAATATATTATAATCAGAGTAAGATAAACAAATCTGGTGGTGTTGTTATATACGTAAGGGATAACATAGATAGTGCTCCAAAAATTAAATGTATTGATAGGCTAAATCTTATGAATATAAATATTAAAACTAATCATTATTGTAACAATATTGAAATCTCGGCACTTTATAGATCACATGACATACCAAAAAATGAATTCTTAATAAGTTTAAAAAAGTATTTGGATAATAAAAAAAATATTAAAAATCATTTAGTTATAGGAGATTTCAATATTGATCTGTTGGAGCACAGCACTGTTAGTCAAGAATATCTGAGTAACTTTCTGGAGGATGGCTATATGCCTTGTTTCCAGGGAGTAACGAGACCAGCAGAATGTAATCAGGAAGGAACCTGCATTGATAATTTTTTCTTTAAAACACAATAGCATATAAAGCAATTAAAATGACTCAAACTTTTACTGATCATTATCCACTATTTATTAATATAGATACAACTCTAATAAATAAAGAAAGTAATTATAACCCAAATAGAATAAATTATAAAAAACTTAAAAATGTAGCTAATAAAATAAATTGGAATAATTTTTTGTTGGAAGATCGTAATGTGAGCATTAACTTAATAATTGAAAATATACAAAATTGTATATGTAAATCAAAGGAAAGTAAAAAAACAAATAAAAATGGCAAAAAATTGCCTAGAAAAAATTGGATTACAAAAGGAATAATAATTTCATGCAATAAAAAAGAACATCTTTACAACTTGTGGAAACTAGATAAAAAAAAATTAACAACTAAAAAAAGATTATAAAACTTACACAAAAATACTTGATAAAGTTATAAAAGATGCTAAAGTTAAACATGAGAAAAACTGGTCGAAGTAAATTGTAATAATCCAAAAAATCTCTGGAAAATAATAAATAATAAAATAGGCAAAAGAAAAAAAGAAAATAACAAAATAGAACATATTATAGATGACAATAATACAAAAATAACAAACGCGGAACACATAGCTGAAGCTATGAATGGTTATTTCAATGAGATCGGTGACATATTAAGTAAAAAAATTCAAAAATTCTCAGATGAAACAATAAATCTTCCACCAATGAATCCAAAAACTATTTTTCTAAAACCAACTAGTACAGACGAAATTAAAACATTAATAAATAATTTAAAAAATAAATCAGGTGGGGTAGATAATATCCATGTTACTACACTAAAAGTGTTGTCTGAAAATATTGCAGAACCATTAATGCATGTTTTTAATAAATGCATTGAATTTTCTTTTTGGCCGGATTCCTTGAAAAGTGCAGAAATAGTTCCCATATATAAGGCAAATGAGAAAAATAAAACACATAATTATAGACCCATCTCTTTAATTTGAAACATTGCAAAAATTCTTGAAAAAATAATCCATAATAGGTTATGTAACTTTATAATAAATAACAAAATAATCTCAGAGAATCAATATGGTTTTCTTAAGAATATGCGAACTAGAGATGCATTTTCAAATATAACAAATATAGTTTATAATAATCTGGATAAAGGAATCCCAATAATTGTAGCTTTCCTAGATTTGGCTAAAGCTTTTGACATGGTCAATCACAAGTTGCTATTAGATAAATTATATCAGTATGGGATAAGGGGAAGTGCACAAATATTGTTAAATAGTTATCTAAACAACAGAAAACAGAGAGTTAAAGTCAATCATACAATAAGTTCTTATCGAGAGGTAAAAGTAGGAGTTCCACAAGGTACAATACTTGGACCCCTTTTGTTTATAATTTATGTGAATGACATCTTGGAATCTTTATCAAAAAATACAATAATGTCATATGCAGATGACACAGCAGTTATTTCTGCAGCAAAAACTTGGGAGGAAACAATAAAAAACATGAATCTTTATTTGGAGAAAATTTCAAGATTGTTAGCATTGAATAAGTTATCATTGAATATAGATAAGACTGTTTTTATCACCTTTGGAAATTACTGTGATTGTGTGCCAGACCGGGTAGAAATAAAAATTAATAATTGCCTAAAACGTGTAAATAGTTATAAATATTTGGGGGTAATTTTTGATTAGACTTAGTTGGGATGAGCACATAAATCATGTTATAAGCAAAACAAAATACTTAACAATAATTTTTTATAAACTAAAACAAATTATGACCACTAAAACACTAATGTTAATTTACTATGCTTTTTTCCATAGTGTTGTAAGCTATGGAATTATAGCATGGGGAGGTGCTTATATGAATAACTTGAATGTTTTGAATAATCTACAGAAAAAAATAATAAAAATGATCAGTAAAAACACTTTATTTACAACAAACTTACCACTTAATTTAGAACAACTTTTTTCTTTAGAATCTTTAATTTATCACTACAATAGTCTTAAAACAATATATTTACAATCAGAAAGTATAACAAGAAACAAAAGTATACCGTTGCCCAAAATGATTAAAAGAGTAAGCAACAAAAATAATTATATTTTAGCAATAAAATTATATAATAGGTTACCAAATGAGTTAAAATCACTCACACAATGCGTCAAAACATAATATTAAAACTAAAATAAAAAATTGGGTCAGAATTAATGTTTGATTTAAAAAAGATAATTATGTTATAGAAACTTTTTTTTTTTGTGGTTTTTATGGTTCATGACTCATATAACAAGTGAATACAGCAACGCGCTATTATCATTTGTAGTCATGTTTGGCACACTAGGTTAGGTTAGTATTAATTATTGTTATTATGTATTAGTAGTTTGTTGATTATTATATAGGTACATCCTGCCCTACACACAGATAATTTATTTATCTCTGTAGGAGTTACAATGTATTATTATTATTTTGTAATTTTTGTTTCTGGAAATAAATTATTATTATTATTATTATTTAATAGCCGTACCGATTTTTTTTATTTTGAGAACAAAACCTACTAATCTTCTATGGAAAATACTTATTAATTCTTGAAATACCTATTTCAAAAAGTTGCCTATATATTTTATAATCATTTACCACTCTTTATAATAGATAATATTTTGAATTGCCCGAAACCCAGACTGTTATTAATTAAACAAAATGTTTAAAACAATGTTTTTAAGACACCATTACTTGTTTTAAATATTTATTTAAAACATATTATTAAATAGGTTTGGTGTGTAGGTGTTTATTTCAATAAAAAATGAGAAAAACTCTTTCAAAATAAAAAAAACGACTATAATACAAAAGGAATAAAAAACAGAGTAATCAGTTCAACTTAATATTGTCTAAATAAACTATTAATTCTGTACTACTACTTGGAGGAGCACCATTATGGTTTCTAAAATCGAATTAAGTTTTGTCCTTTGGCTTTATCATTACTCAACATGATATGGTTTAAAACAGAGTATAAAAGTGTTGTAAACATATTTTCGACTTTGTATTTACAATGTTCTTTAAAACCATAAGAATTTGTTTTAAACAATAAAAAAACATGTTTTGTTTAAAAATATTCTTTTTCAGCGCTGCTTGAAACTATTTAAAACTGTTAACAATTTAAAGTTGTTTTTAGAATTTTTAATTGATCTTAGATATAATAATTTTTTCAAATATATCTCTTCCGATTACAATCTGGCAACAATGCTGTCTACAATCAACGCACGTGCTCGATGACATGCAACGGTTTTTATTTTGTACGACGTATACTTGGCAAGTATGCTACCTCTATAAACAACATTTTTTTGCAACAAGCTTGGCGATCACGCAGCGCGACAAGGAAACCGCTCACACGACATGGCAAGTATATGCCAATAACAAATGTTTGTACAAGTACACGAATCGTGAGAGTCCGCCTTTAGAGTCTTTCAAAGTGTTTATGTATTTTATATGTATTTTGTAGTCGTAAATAGTCATAATGTGATAATTTGATCATTTTGATTTTTTATGATTTTTTTTATATTAGTATTGTATTGCGCCAATTTATGTTTAAATCTAGGAATCAAAAAAGCTTTTATATTCTCGCAATAATTAAATCAACTGTCAACTTACTGTCCTACTGTCAACAACTTTGATAAATAAACTGAATATCATAAACTTTTCCAGACTAGATTTTAAAGTAGAATTATTTTATATCGCGCTCTAAGATAAAATCTGATGTTTTCCCTTTGATCTAAAAGTGACAGGAAAATAAATGTGAAGGGTCCATTCTGTTATTTTTGGTCACAACATGTCGAGAAGCCCTTTTCCCTGAATGGTTGCCCCTTAAATTAGGTTGTCACTGCACGAACTGTATTGAGAAACTGTTGGGCAAAACTCGACTAGTGCAAACTTCATATTGTTACGTCAAATC